GATCTGGGAGCCTTTCTTGACTCAGCCCGTTGTACGGGCAGCTGGGTGTGCCCCGCCACGGGCCGACTGGGAGACCTGGGGGACTTGAGGGTGAGCGGGTGAATGTGTGTGTGTATGTGTATATGTCTGTATATGTGTGTATGCGCGTGAATGGGCAGAGGGTATGCGAACGTCGGGGTTGGGTGGGGTGAATGAGTGAGTGGGTGTTTGGGAGGGTGGGACTCGGAGGGATTGGAGGGGGGAGTAAGATGAGAGTGTCTGGGCAGGTTCGGTAGGTGGCGCTTGGTAGTTTTTAGCTTGTTCGTGGGGTGCGTCTGGTGGCGAGGGTGGCGAGGGTGGCCTGCTTTTGGGGCGAGTTGGGCAGCGTGTAGGACAGCGTGTAGAACAGCTCCTGCTGAAACCGGAACAGCTGCCGCTTGTCACTCCCTCACTCCCCCAATGTTTGTGAGCTTGGGCGCACGCAGATAGTGGTGGTAAGATGTTCAGCAGGACGCGAGCAACGCCACTCCTGCACCGGACCAGCCACCTTCACCCACCAGCCTAGGTTCGCAGAAGCTGTTTCTGCTGCCCCAAATCTTCCCTTGCTCCGCTTGTTGAATTACCCTCCCTGCCCCTTCCTTCTTCACACACACAGCCCCACGCCTTCCTCTCCGCCGTCATGCGCACTCTGGAGCACAACGGCATACAGCGCCGGGTAGAGGCGATCGAGGTGGCGCCGGACGGCGGCTGGCGGCCCAAGGACAGCCGCCTGCCCTTCATGTCGGTGCTGGACGCAGACCCGCGCGACCCAGCAGTTCGGTCGCTGCCGTCGTTCGACGTGCGACTGTTGGAGCCAGAGGACGACGGCGGGCGTGACGTCGTGGATTTAACCGACGACTGATTTAGGGGGGGGTAAGGGAATGACCCGCGCGTGTCACTACCGGAAAGGGATAAAGCACCGCGGCGGTGCGAAAAAGTGAATGGTGGTGTGGGGATGGTGGTGGTGTATGCCGGGTGTGTGGAAAAGAGGTGGGCTGCTGCTGCCGGATGAGGCGTGGTGGTACTTAATATTGGCTCAAATGGATGTCAACAGCCCTGATGTTGATGTTGGCGTTGAGATTTCCTTTTGAACTCCGTATGACCAGGGAGGTGGTTGTGGAGTTCGGGGATGTTTCGTGGATGGGGTGCATCGAAGCAGACTGGATTTTGCGTTTGGTTGTCACGGTTTAACCCAGTTAAAGCAGAGTGCTGTGGCCAACAGCGGACAACAAACAGCAAATAGTGATAGATTGTGATGATGCGGATGCTGAGGGCCGAAAGACTGCGAAAGGCTTTGCGCCAAGTTGGTTGCTTGTGGTGCAGTGCGGCGCCAGAGAAAGCGGGGATTGGGTGTGTGGAAGTGGGAATAAGCAGCGGCCAACAGCAGAATTGAATACTGACGTTGGTGTTGTTCATGTGTGCAGGTCGGCAGGCGTAGGTTTATGTGTAGCTGCTAGGGACGTATTGAACAAGGCGTTGAAACACGTGCATGCTGACTACTCCCATTTTCCCGCCGCCGTTAGCGAAACCCCAAGTGGTGAGGAATCAAACCAAACCAGGTTACGTGGTGTTTTAAAGCGAATGACATCTTAACGATAGGGTCCATGACGGAGATGGCGCACAAACAGAACGGCCATCATTTTACACGGGTCTACACTGTAGGGCTGCGAAATCATCATCGCGCAAGGATCTAGCCGTGGCTTATTCTGCATCTCCCTAAACCCTGACAAGACGACCCCCCATCTCTACACGCCTCGCGGGCACCAGCGCAAATCCATAGAAGCGTCTCATCGTAAGCTACAGAGCATCACCATCCCAAGCGCACCATCGCGCGTTGCGGCACCGTCCAGGCAAAGGAAACACTTGCCCCTTAATCCTCTACCACAGCTCATGCCATAAAACCAACTCGGGTCAGGTTAGTAAGCCTCGGACACCTTAAATTCCATTCCACCCTATACCAGCTCTTTGGGGTCGTGCCAGACGCAAGGCAGGCGTCGGCCTTGAGCATCAGGGGTTCGAGCAAGCACTGCTTCACCTCTTAACTCAGCAGCTCCTCCTCCAGCTGCTTGTACTTGTCCTGGATAGCTTGCTGGCGGGCGGCCTCCTCGCGCTTCTCACGGCGAGCCATGTCGGCATAGTACTGCGCGATGTACCGCTTCTCGTTCCAGTGCCACGTCTGGGGAGGACATCATCCAAGGAACCCCGGGTAAAACGCATGAAGCCATGATGTACGCTCAAGCACGATTTGGAGGCAACGAACATGTGCTGATGCTTTCCTTTTCCGAGACAAGCCCGTGTCAACTTTTAAACCGTCCTAAGATGCTGAACTACGATGCTTTTCTTTTGTATTTCTAACATATTAGCGATACATAAACCAACCTTCCACGCGAAGCTCAAGCCGATTCCCACAGTCAGCGCAATCGCGAGGTGCTTGCTGAAACCAAAGTTCTTGGAGACGCCCTCTCCAAATTTGATGTACTCAGCTTGCGCATACACGGCCTTTGGCGCTTGTGGGGCAACTGGAGAGGACATGGTTGCGGGGCTGGTGACAGGAGAGTTCTTCCCGAAGTGACCTGTCCTAAAAGTACAGTTAGTAGTCTGTGCTAATAGTAACTTATTGTTGTTGTAGCCTCTAACCAAAACGCGAGAAAAGCGCGGCTCCCCCTGGACCTATGGCCCTACTAGAAAACTTCCTTTGCAAGAGTATGTTACCTCAGTGTGTCATACGTCCCTAATGATTAAACGAATGCTGGATTTTGAGACGGGTATAAATTATCAATTGTACTGTCATGTGTCAAACCGTTAGCTTTGTACCGTTAGCTTAGCATACTTACCTTCTTAAAGTTACGAGATTACACCACGGTCATGTCTGGTCAGGAACATATCCAAGCTTCACTCCCTTAGGCAAGCAGCAACTTGCCTAAGGGACAAGGGTTGACCCTGGGGTCGCGAGGGTTGGACGATCAGGAGTACTAGGTGTCCCCCTTCTAACCCCCGGGCCGGGTGGGGCTCCTTGCACCTTTCCACTCCTGGCACCCCTTCCACCCACCCCCGGTCGGGGTCCTTTCCTTGCATCCTTCAAATCCTGGCTTCTTGGTTCCCACACTATCTCCTGTGTGTTCCGCCCATTTATGGCACCGCCACTTGGACGGTCTTCCACAATGGCTACTATATGCAATTCATTTTCTCGGATTACCAAGATGCGCAAGAAAAGTAGCTATGAATGTGTGCACATCGGCACCGGAGAACGTGTCCCCTTGGAGGACAGAACTGGATGCGGGGCAGGAGTACATGGGAGACTCGGCATGTCCTGTGGGGCAGAGACAATTCTTTAGGAAATATTTTGCTTCCAATTGGGGAAGGCATAAGCTGAAGAAAGCTTTGAATAAGTGTATTTAAGCAGAATGCGATTGTTACAGTGGACCCTGAACGGGCCGAGTGCAGCGCCCCAAGGAACGCCTCCCGCACAACACTGTGGGCCTTATTTAACAAAAAAAGGCTCAGGCGTGAGCCCTCAGACATCCCCATTGTACACCTGTAACCGGTAAACGGCAAACAACCTTGTTTTCATCACAGAGGTTGGCAAATAAGGCGGGCCCCGCGGTCCGTACCACAGTACCCGCAGCTGAAATTCGGCTTAAGGCCCCGTAAGGCTGCGGGTCCCTAATGACCAAAAATTCGACCAAAAGACGTGCCTCGATTGCGGCCCACAGGGCAGCGCGCTGGACTTGAAATCTGTGTTTCACTTTGTAAAGGACTGTCACGACCACCTCTACACAATTCGGCAACGATTTTCATTGACTTTCATCGGCATGCGGATGGATGAATCAACGTGTATCGCAGGTGCGCCTTGCCGTACATGTGTTCATAGTACGGCTGAAGCCGCCTGCCATATAGCTGCAGTTACCAAAATGCTTTCCCTAACTGTCGCCTCTCATTTTCAGGTGAGTTGCACGCAGCGCTGGATGTCGCTTCCGATGATCCTAAGACCGGCATGCTGTTCGATGAGTGCTTCGGCTCGGTGAAGCTCACCGGGTGGACTCGGGGAGCGACACTAACTTCATGGCGCAAGACCAGAAGAACTTGCCGTGACTTGCTGATGCGGTGCTAGCATGGTTGTTTCCACTGACTGGGTGAACCCCGCCGTGCCATGTGCAGCGCACGCAAGCACAGGCTGGCATGGCGACGAACAGAGGTGTATGGTGTGACTTTTCAAACCCTTATACAACGGTCGGACTGCGATGTGTACGGAACAAGCAGCGCTTATGATGCTGCTTTCTTTGGCGCCGGAAGGCGCCCGAAAATTCTTTTAGGTTTACTGGCCGAATTTATGCCCTCCCGCAGCCATAGAAACCGATTTGCCGACCTCTGTCAGAGGTCGGCAAATAAGGCGGGCAGCTGCGGGTCAGAATCCACAGTACCCCCGGCCGAAATTCGGCTTAAGGCCCCTGCTGCGGGTCCCTAATGACCAAAATTTGACCAAAAGACGTGGCTTGCAGCCTCTATTGCGGCCCGTAGCGCCGCGCGCTGGACTTGAACTCTTGTTTGATTTTTTCAGGTTTACTGGCCGAAATTATGCCATCTCGCATCCGTAGAAACCAATTTGCCGACCTCTGCAGCGAAATGAATATGTTGGATTGTTTATAAACCTGTGTCTTTTGCTTTCTTTTATGTGTAAGGAGAACATTTGCCAGTCGGTTCATTCCTAGAGTATCCCCTAGTTAACGGGCATTCCTTGCGCAAGGAATGGGAGGACCGGGAAACCCTCATATCGTCCACTTATGGGGTCCCGGCAAGCTTAGTTGTCCATAGCGATTCTGACAGCGCGATAAGGACATCACTCCTTGCATCAATCGGTCGCTTATCGCTATCCGCATATTGCAGAGGCCCATACTACAGATTGGAAAATGACTCTCGGGTAAGGTAGCATCAGCTGGCTACGGCGCGCCACACCACCATTAACGTCAAAAAAGCCGCATTTGGGTTTCTCACCATTCCCCCAAACTCGTGAGGACGTCCATGCACATTATGCGAGGCAAGCGACGTTTCCTGACGGTCCTATACACCTGGTAAGCAAAGCGATGAGCGACCAAGACCCTGTCGCGAACCGGCTTGTTAGAAGCTCAACAGCACACGCAAGCCATATCCGCACACAAGTGCGCATGAAGAGCATTTTGGCCGTTCCAAGAGCCCTAGGGGCCGAAATTGAAGCTCTAGATCAGCAACAAAATCTCCGAATCGCGTCGTATCTGACTTATGCGCAGGGAGGTCAATTAAAATAGCCACAGTCCACAGAGCAGCAAGTGAGCTTAGGTAAAAACCCATGTCCGAATTCACAACCGTCATAAAAGCTGGTACCTGCGTATTAAAATATGGTTGGAGGATCAATCAAAGTGAAACGCGCTTCACAAACAACTGGGCGGCTCGCGCCTATGCCAGTTAGAGCTCCAGCGGCACTGGTGTGCTTGCTTTGCTCTTTGGCTGCTTTATGTGTCAGTTGCCGTCGTAAGTTTATATGACCCACAGCACACACGTATCCATCGGTGCATTGAAGCACGCTTGTCATGGTCAAGATGGCCGGATACAACAGCCACACAGCTATCCAAGTTCTATCTCCTCATTACGGCCCAAAACGCGCATCCAAGTATCGGTAACTACTCTCAAAGACGCATGTGGTCCAAAGCGATCAGAGTCTCTACACCTGCCGCTCGATGTTCCCAAAGTCATCTTCCTCCACCTGCTGCCGGTGCTGGTGCTGCTGGTGCCACCACTCTTCCAGCTGTCCCAAATCGCCAATCCTCTCCACCGTCCATGAACGACAACCGACTCGGTCGCGCACTTCGCCCCGCCCCGCACTCGCAAGCAGTCAACCATTCATCCTATTGACATCTTCAACCGCCAACCGTGCGGCCGTGATACGTGCCGCGTACGCTGCATAATGTGGCCAAGTTATTACCACCCTCCCTTCCCCCCTTCGTTCCTTCCCCCTCGCAGGGCTCCAAACAACCAACATACACCCCACGGAGAAGCAACGGCATTTCCCACCCAGACACCAACTCAACTCCAGATCCGTTGCTCCTCCTCGACACGCAACTGCGCAAGGGAGGTAAACGTCCACAAAAGTTCTCTGGCACTGCCCTTACCTGGCCCTCCCTACTTATATCATGCGTCTCGCTTTTATTAGTTGTTACATAGCAGGACTAACTACATCACACCACACGCCACACAGCCCCGCCCCGCCCCGCCCCGCCCAGCACTCACTCACCCACCCAACCACTCGCTCACTCGCCGCCAACTTCCGCCTGCCCGCCGACCTCCCCCCGCTCCCCCCACTGCCTCCTCTCCCCCCCCGCCTTGCCCCTCCGCCTCCTCTCAGCCCACCACCGTGGGGGTATCCGCCAGCGGGTGCAGCTCTTCCTCGTCGTCGGAGGAGGCGGCCGCCCGGGCCGCTGCTCTGGCCGCCTCCTCCGGGTGCAGCTCGGGGTGGGCGATGATGGCGGGGAACTCGGCCAGGCCGGGAGTGGGCTCCAGAGAACAGAACGGCGAACTGAAGTTCTCCAAATTGTCCTGTTTGTGTGTGTAGGGATGTGCGCGTAGGGTGTGCAGCGTGTGGTGGGTGTGCGGGGCCGGGGGAGCTGTTCGGATGCCGACAGGCGGGCAGGCGGGCGGGCGGGGACCACCCTGGGCCATCTGCCGCCGCCTGGGGCACCGACTGAAGTGAATTGTAATGACGAGCGAGGTCAATGCGAAGGTGACGGCAACCGGCCGGTTCATAAGCCAGGCCAACAGGACAAAATCATGACGACCATGGCTGAACCACAGGCACAGCCATACAGCCCCAGACGGACAGACTGGCACAAACAGACAGATGGGGAGGCACACACACACACATAGACAGACTGACAGACAGACAGACAGGCATGGACAACGGCAAAGACAGAAACGGAAGCAGGAGCTGCTGTACCTTGAATATCTGCAGCTTGGAGATGGTGCAGGAGAAGGCCGCCACGCGGCCCTCAGCGCCTCGATACATGTGGAAGAACGGCAGGACTGTTTGAAAGCACATCGCGGACCGTACGGATGTTGGCCGTACGGCAGCGCCGTACAGCCGACATCAGCAAGAAGCCCCGGAAGGACGGGCGGGTGGCGGGCGGGCGGGAAGGGGCAGCTCCATGTGAACAGCGAACAGGAACGAAGCTATGTTAGGGGTGAAACATGACGGCGGGTGACGGGATGTGGGGCCTACGTAGTGTGGGGGCTGGCAGAGGGAGGTCTCCGGGGCCTCGGGGGCCCCGTGGGGAACGGCGGGGCCAAAGTCCGCACAGCGGAGAGGCGGCAACACGACACGGTGCAATGCGCAAGAACGCCACATCAAAATAATGCATTGACAACCGACAATATAAACGCTGATGGCCTGTGCGTAGGCGTAGGCGGCAGGCTACGGCGCAACGGCGGAGGATGGCTGTGGACCGGGCGGCACCGCGCTGGGTGGTCAGTCCCCCACATCAGGGCCCCCCAGGGAGGTCCTTCCCAACTCCCCAGTAACGCCAGCCCGTTGGTTGTGCAGTCGCTCCCGAAGGAATCACCCAAGCGGCGCGGAGTCTATAGCCACGAACCCATGCCCGCCAATAATGTCCACCAACATTCTCCCCCCCCACCACCCGACCTGCGCACATTCACCCACCCCATCCCCCGGGGGCTTCCCCCAGACGCACCCTTCACGCCCAGAGTCCTGCATGCGGCCCGGTTGTCGTCGAAATTGACCTTTAGGAACAGCACGTCGGGGCTCTCCGCGATCATCTTGCAGATCTGCACCGCGACACAACATGTATGCATGTTTGTTTGTTTGTTTGCGAGTGTCGGTAAGTACGTGATTCTGTGTGTATTTGCCAGGGAAGTTGAACGGAGGGTTGAACAGAGGTGGGAACTTCGAGGTGGCATAACCCCCAAACAGCAAAAATGAGATCGGGGCAATGGGAAACTAAAAAGCTATATTATGAGAACTAAAAACGGTTCAGGTAGGGGCCAGCAAACCCTGGACAGCGTCAGGCCCAGCAAGATATGTAAAATACACATTTACTATACACACGCACGAGCATCCACACACACGTAGACACACAGCTAGGCACCATGCAACGTAACGCACACATCGGGGGATGTACAGCCCAACCCGGGGGGTCCTCATCTCACGCGCAGCTCCAATCGCAGTAAGACAGCAGTGAGCAGTGTACCGTGCCGCACAACAGAAAACCTCCGTAACCTCCGCGGCCTTCCCCCCCCCCCCCGCAACTTGCACGCGTGTGGGTTTGGGGTTTGTCGTACCTTGGGGAACAGCGCCCGACACGCATTGCACCACCTGAGCCCCGTTGAAAGGGCGAAGGGGAGGGACAGGAACGAACGGACGATGCAGGGGGGAATTGCATTGTTGTTGTTGTTGTTGGTGGTGGTGGTGGTGGTGGTGGTGGTGGTGGTGGAGAGGACGGGGATGTTGAAACTACGCACGCGAAGGGGTTAAGGAGAGAATCACACGTCTTAAACCCCGTCACAAGCCAAATCAAATCAGGCGATGCGTAACACCTAAGGGGCCGCACCTTGGTCAACACGGGGCGTCTGCAAACCTGACCGGGAAGAGGGGCATCTGTCTGTTGCCCGTTAGGTTTCCCGTCAGCCGAACCTCTCCGGCGCCTCAAGGGGTGGCAACGGCTCACGTGGACGACAGACGCTCTCCAACAACCCAATTCATCTCGACATCTTCCTTCTCCGCCGCCGCCTCCTCGGGTGTATCAACCCAACCCCAACCCCAACCCCAACACCACACCACAGCACACTAACCAGCCGGTAGAGACTTGCACATATCAGTTGTCCCGCTCTTGCACGAGAATATATATATGAGCATAGATATGTTTAAATAAATATATATAAACACATACATACAGGTATACATACAAAGATATGCATATGCGCACATGTGCAAACACGCACGTTTGTATGCCATCCTCCTCGCCAGTGCCTTCCGCGGCCCCCAGATCATTAAGAGACACACACACATACGTGCACACATACATACACACGTACATATATACATACATGCACTTTCCCTTTCCGGCGCTTCCCTAGCCTCACCCCTCAAACCCTCCCGCGGCGGACGACTCACTGAGCGTAGAACTCCACAATGACCAGACGGTCCCCGGCGTCCGCGAGTGCGTCTACAAGCTCCTGAATCGAGTTGATGTCCTGAAAGGTGGGGGGGGCCCGTGCGGGCCGCGTGTGATTGGGGGAAATGAAGAAATACACAGATAGATAGATAGATATACAGATAGTTAGATAGATAGATAGATATACAGATAGTTAGATAGATAGAGAAAAACGGGCTGGTGGGGAATGGGTGGGACAGAGCAATTCCAGCCGTAAGCGGTGTAAATAGCAGAGAGAGGGAGGGGGGAAGGGAGGAGGGGGAGGGAGGAGGAGGGGGAGGGGCGTGGTGGCACGTGGAGAGCGGACGGCGCAGGACGAGCTAGGCAGAACGGAGTGGGAGGACAGCCCCGACCCACCCCCATCAACCTGTAGCTGTCCTGACAGGTGTCTTAGATGAGCCGTTGCAGGGTAAGAGAAGGGATACGTTCAGCCGGTCGCCAAACCGTTGCCATGAGGTATCCTAAGGAGGCACGTTGCCCGTTGCCTTAAAAGTCGAGTTCATCTCGCCGAACCTGAAATCTACCTGCATATTTGGAGGGTTATCCTTCAGCCACCAGGGCTCGCCAGACCCTCTCCCAGCTTGACAGACGACAGCTGCGAAGGGCAACATAGCGGTAACAGTTGTAAGTTGAGGGCCGGCTACACGATGCAGCCAGTTGAATCCCATAATGGGTTGAAAACAGCAGTTAAGGTGGTGTAACATGATGATAAGCGCCGTCCTTAGGACGGTGGTCACCCAAAGATGTCCCACGGTTGAGATAAGGCGTTGGTTAGGTACACCTATTCTGCAAGTCCGACAATCGCTTTGAACAAAATTGGCTTTGAAATCTGCTTAGGAACCCAAGCAACCGACCTGGCGCGCACCGCCGTTCTTGAGGCCGAGCAACGTGACTGCGAGCGATAGCGTCGATGCGCATCAGATGCCCAATTAACCGTGATGATTGGGCATAGAGATTGAATTATCTTACCGAGGATAGCAACCTGGCGCCCGGCCGGCGCAACGGGGAATTGCATCCGAATGCGCCTGGACCAGACGCGCAAAAGCTGGTCCCCGCTGAGTGCATACGACAGTATTCCTGCAATTTGCCCTGTGAGGTTGCTTAAGCGCGTGCATTTGTGGACGCCAGCTAGCTGCAGCAAAGGGTGGCGAGTCAAGCAATGGATTTCGTTTTAGGAAGTATTAATTAGATTACAGAAGCGGATTATTTAATACATTAGCTCCTTTCGGCTCTGTAAGAGCCAAATGGATTTCTTTCTGCTACTGCAACTCGATGATGCACTGCAAGATCATCGCGGCCCGCTTGTTTAGCAGAGCAACCAACCAGCCTCCTCAAAAACCTAAAAACCTCAATAATCCAGTGTATTTTGCACCAAAAGGCTCTGTTGCATGAAGCTCTTGTCCTTCTGCCTTCGACGCGCCGTTGCCGCGGGTGCTCCCAGTTCGACACACCTCCCGTCGAAGAGCCATTCCGCAAACCCCTCTTGCGTCAAGTGCGCATAACGTTTTCTATCATTATGATAACGCGAATCTGGCAGGAGGTAGAGATACGCAATCGCGCGCCCTCGGACGAGGGGACTGCGGCCTCTCACGTCCGTTGGGGTACGGTTAGGTGCCCCTGGCCAGCGTCAGGCCTGGATCGATGTGTAACAGAAACACATACATACATACATACATACATAAAATTACAAAGAATACACATGAATTCCCTAGGCAGGACGGCGCCACGACGTCAGGCTTACCTGACGCCAGCGGCGACGGCTACACTGAACCCCTCCAGAGAAATAACTACTTTGCTCTCTGGGTTCATTGCCAACCAACCGCCAAAGGGCACCCCAGCATTCGCAACCGCACGGTGCACCTCCCCTAGAGCAAACAGTAGTCTCGGATCTTGTCAGGGCGGCTTCCCCCCAATAACATGCTGTGGCCACACTGACCACCACACGATCGTGTACCCATCTCGCTGTATATCGCTCGTGATCACAGTACCCACATCGCTCTGGAGCATTGCCCTGCCCACGCACCAAGGTTCGCCCCCAGGGATTCCGCTCCACTTCCGCTCCGTCCACCTTGTCTCCCCCCCCCCCCCGCCGCACAAACGTCAGGTCCCCTTATGCTCTGCAGTGCCCCTGCAGTGCCGCAGCCACCCCAGAAACCCAACTGGCAGGATGCTTCCGAAGCGGAAGGGAGGGTGCGTGCCCTTACAGGTACCTTATTTGAAGGGCCATTTACCATGCTCGCCGCGCGAGCTGAGCCGACATAACCATAACCAAGCGTCGCACCTACAAGAATCCCCTCTCACGCACCAGAAACGTCAAGGTACGTTTCCATCTTTCTACTTTTGTTTATGTTTCTGCACGGAGAGCTGCTACGTACATGCGGGAGCAGAGCCCTTCGAGTGGGGCATAGGAAGAAAGGGGCGTCGGTGCGAAGGTGCGTGGGAAAAAGCCCTTTCTGGAAGAGTAGAGCCCCACCACCACCACCACCAGCATGTGCTTGTTTCAATGTTCTGGCATCAGCCCTTCACGTCGAAGACGGCAGACGCGTCCGGATTACTGGACATGAACTTCAGCACACATGAAGCACACGACATATCACCGGCTGGCGCGCGGCCCTCCACACTCCGTTCAGCTGCAAACGCTGATCTCAGCGGATGTGTATAAAATGCCATGTCTCTCTCTCCAGCATCACTTTGTTGTCCACCGACGCCGTCTTTTAAAATTCGTCTCAGAACTTCAGGCCAACCAGGAGATCTCACATCGGGCGCACACCTGTCATCGCAGCGCACCACCGTCCCTGCTCTGTGGCGATATGCCAACAAGGACGACGCAGGGACGTGCAGGGGGACGTGCCGAATTCGCAGGCCCGCACAGGCGGTGACGCAACGCGTGACACGACTACTGTGCCGATACATAGCACGCACATACTACAGCTCCGCTTATTTGTTCTGGCTCCGGTGTCACCCTTCCAATCAACATCTACTCTAAAATTCTGCAACGTGTACTTAACTCTTGGCAAATTCTACCACGTTGCTGGAACGCGGAGCTTGTTTCGGTAAAAGATATCTTTGCGCCAGCCTCGCCATTTCCTTCTCGTAGATTTTTCAGATTTTTCAGATCACTCAGATATTACACACACACGCACACTTTTGTGCAGAAAGGCGGGAGCCCCATCACTACACTGCGTGTATCCATCTCTCCAGGATTTGAAAATGGCTGGGCGCTTCGTGCACACAGCGCCACTTGGCACCTCCTCTTCGTCCTTCCTAACTTCCCTAACAGTTAAAATTAAACTTTAAACAGGAAGCATCGCATAAACGATGGGACGAAACATCCGCTCCCGTCCTGCTACTCCTGTGTTTCGTCCGCCTCCCCATCCGCCACCGCTTCGTCCTCCTCCCTCGCCTCCTCGTCCTCGTCCACAGCCGAGCTGTTGGCCACACGCGCGTCAACTCGCCAGTGAGGGGGCATGAAGCGTGGGCGCATGGTGTCAAGGAAGTGCTGTCGCCAACCGCGAACAAAGCCCTCCAGCTTGTCTCGCCCGCCCAGAGCTCGCACCACCAACTCAGCGTGGCTGCGCCTGCGGCAGGAAAAGAAAATAACCGGTGAACCTAACAGAGTACTTCACCGAGCCCGGGAGACTGGAATGGGGGGGGGGGGGAAGGAGGAGGAGGGGGAATCATGTGATGCACGACGAAACAAAAGGCCAACTGCCGAGCGGGGGGAGAGGGGAGCGGGCAAGGGTCGGACCAGGAGGTGAACGGGTGGGTGCAAAACCATGTGCAAGTTTGCAGATGTGAATTTAAACTTCCCCCGGTAAGTGTGGCGAACCTGCATGAATACATCAACATGCGGGTGGGGTGGTTGTCGTATGTTCCTGGGGCCTGCTCCAATTTTTTGCATACGTCGCTAATGCGCATATCCGGTGTGTGGCCCATGTAACCTTAAATTATTCTCTCAAAACACGCACTCTTTGCCTTCGCCACACCCACTGCGTTAGGAGGGCACGATGTCGGCACACCATCATTTGTCAAACGCGCCAAGTAAAAATACAGTTACAAACCAATACATGCTCACCAGTTAAAATCCTCCGTACGGGGATCCACGTCAGCCGCCTGCCGTACCAGCGCATCGTCCACGTGTTCCACACCAAAGTGGCGCCGCAACAGGTCCTCAAGCTCCCGCCGCCGAGCGGGTGGAATTACTACCTGCAACACAACAAAGGAGAACCAATGCAAGTTATTTATTTGGGTTGCCCCTCGCACGTGTCTTTCGCCTCACGCTCTTCCCCCCCCATACCCACAAGCCGGGGAAAGCTCCTCGGCCTGCCAACCAGTGCCCTCCCGCCGACTTGCCTTCGGATTGGCCAGTGCGCGCCCCGCGCTCCGCACCGCTCCCAAACCGGAGTCATGTCGGAACTTGGCGGCGGTGGCGGAGCCCAGTGGGGCCTGAAAGGTCCTGCCCAGCGCCTCCATACGCCGCTGGTCTCTTACACTGCAGGTCTGTGGGGCGAGGGCCCCCCGTGGGTGGGTGGGTGGGTGGGTGGGTATGGCGGTCGCGGACTACGTGCAGATTACAACAAAACACCAACTGCCAGATGTGCAAAACAAGACATTTGATGTCATGTGTGTTAATTTACCTTCTTAACGGGCTGGAAGTTGGCCAAGGGGGCAGGGATGCCCTCATGGGCCCTAACTAGCGAGAACACGGCGCCCAAACCCTCTCCGAAACCGGGGGAAAAAAGGGGAGAGATGGGCGTCCGGGGGAGGGGGGCCCATTGAGGTTCTCCTTCAGACCAGACCAGCCCAGACCAGCCCAGGCCGGTGGCGCCCCTCCCTAGCTATCTAGCTCCTAGCTAGGTGCATGAGACCCCGCAGCCCCTGACTACTACCTTGTGGCAGGGTGGGCACATGAGCACAATGTCGTGGCTCAAGTGGCTCTTCATGGAGGCCGGGAAGTGCTGGCGGTAGCAGTGCGGTACCACGCTGTGGCGCAGGTACTCCCCGGTCGAGCCGCACACGCAGCACCGGTTTTCCTTGTCGGACTGCGAAGCAGCCAGCCAAGGGGGAAGCCAGTCAACTCATGAAGCGTGAAGCGCAAAGCACAAGCACGAGACCGTTCGGATTGCGCTATTTGTGTAAACGGGGGAAATGCAATGAAGGAAGAGGCAAAGGATTGCGGAGTTGTGTGTGTTGGGGGGAGGGGAATAGTAGAATAGGATAAGGCAGGGGACCCTGACGCAGCCGCATCCGAATGCCTGCGAAAGTTTGGCGTCTTGCCGTACATGTAACCGTGCAAAATGTATTAGCTCGGTTGGGAAGTGGGTGGCGGGATATATACGTCCTTGCCGGACGGCCTTGGGCCCACACTTCCTCCTTACCCACACCCAACCCACACATGTAGGTGTACACCCACCCATTACCGCCCACCCACTTACTAAGTAGTATTCGTCGTCCGCATGGCCTCGACCACGCGGCTCGAACTTGAGCTGGATGGTGGTAGGGTCCTTCGAAACCACCCGCGCCAGGCCGCGTTCAAGGTACCATGCAACCTTCTTCGCGCCGCAGGTGCACAGCACGGCGCCGTCTGGAGCCTAGACAGGACATCATTGCAGCCAGAGAGATGGATGACAACAAATCAGGCAACAGCATCAAGCTTCAAGAACGATGGATGCCAACGGGGACAGACCACCCTGGAGCCATGCACGATAACCATAGCCGTTCAGGATACCCGAGAATAATAGCAGCGTTGCGAGTGTGCAACGATGACTGTAAAATTTAAGACGAAATGAATACGCTTGCAACATTTACACCGAAGCGACGATATGATGACGCCAGCACACCGGATATCAGCAGCACCAGGCACCGTACTATTTCCACCCGCCACTTTCCCCCCTTCCCCCCACTCCCAACCAACCCAATCCTTACCAGCAGCCTGCAGTTCTCGTACAATACGGACTTGCGCGTCGGCAGCTTCATCTCCTTCCGCCGAGGTGGGGCCCCACCGCCGGCTAGACCGCCGCCACATCCACTGCCAGAGATCCCGGAGACCGAAGCGCCTCCTACCTCTTCAGCCGCGCAACAACCCCGGTCCCCCACTGCCGTTGCTGTCCCCGTTTTAAGAGCAGCAACAACACCGGAAGCTGGCCCCAAGACTTTCTCCACACGCTTGCCCTTAAAGCCGTTGAAAACGTCCAGGAAAGGCGCCGCGAACTCCAGCATAGATAGCTGCGGCGGCAGCACGGCCCCGCTTGTGCGGATATCCACGTCTGATCGGCTGTATCGGCCGTGCAGCTCGCACAGCAGCTCTCTGGACAGCCAGGCGTCATGCGCCGCGTAAGCGACCTGCACCACCAGGAGGGGCGAGAGGGAAAAGAGATGACGAGAAAGACTGTGATACACACAGGTTTAGCTTTACGTGGTTGCAAAGGAAGCGATGGGGAACAGAGAAGAAGAAATGGGAAAAGCTGCTGCGCAGGCGATGTGAGCGTTGGGGGAAATCATATGCAAGAAAACAAGGAATGAAACTGCCGGCGTCCGTAAGAGTTCGAAACTGCTGGAGTCCAAAGCGAGTGTTGAGGAGGGAGGCACCAGGGGCCCAGGCCGTGGCATTGAGATGGGAATGACGTGACGTGATGTGCCATGTTAATCTGGTCCGTCCAGCTTCCTGTCCCCCGAACCCACAGCCAAAAAGCGACCCTGCCCCCGGGCCCCACCAACCTGTCGCTCGTCCAGTTGACCGTTACTGCCCCAATGGCTGCGTTGCGGCGACTTGTCTAATTGTCGCCCCAGCAGAGCGGAGCTGAGGGCCTGCAGACTGCCTCCCCCCGCCAGGCAGTGGGGGTGCACCCGCTGGGCAACCAGTCGCACGTCCACCGCGCCACGGACCTGTGTGCATCGTGTCGGGGGCAGGGCAGTGGGCTGAGGAAGCACTACGAGAAGAAACGTGGTTAGGAGGCACAGCCACAACCGTTGATATTACTCAGCTGGCAAACAAGACCTCTTTAGGCACGGTTTGAAGTGGAGTGATAATACTGAGGAGCTTCTGCTCCAGGGCAGGTGAGCAGGTGTACATGTGTACATGTACAGGTGTACATGTACATGTGTACATGTACAGGTGTACATGTACAGGTGTACATGTACAGGTGAACCATGGATGAAATGAAGGAGAGCGGAGCGGAGCAGCACAATCAAGAGCCAACAAGTGGAAAGGCGTCAAAATACGATGTATGTGATCCTTAGCGGAACTGAGAGCCCGAACCGCGAGTAGGAAGTAGCGAGAGAGGCGTGTGCGGCCACACCGCACATGGATCACAGCACCTGCACGCCGAAGTCTCGCTCCAAGCGGCGCACGTCCTCTTGGATGCCCACACCAGCCTTGATAACCCGCGGGTCGCTCAGCAGCCGCACCACCTCCCCCGGCAGCCACCCCGCATGCAGCCGCGCCTGCTCACTGCACTCCTCCCCCGGCTGCGGCTCCGGTGGGACTAGCTGCAAGCCCAATGGTAAACTACCGGTTGGACCATCCTGGTGTGCGCAGGGTGAGTGGGTTGCCCCGCTGCCGCTGCCGGCAGGTTGCAGAATCCAGCAGCGGCTGGCGGATGCCAGCTGCACGACGGAGATGCTGATGGGAAAAGCGACAGAGAGAAAGAGAGAGAGAAATGGGAAAGAAACAACGGCGTACTTATGTGCGATACGGGCTGGTAGTCAGTCAGTGAGCGAGAGGGGCAGGCAGGGACAGGGGGGGCCCGTCGTATTCAGGTGATTTCTCACTTGTAGGTGGTTAAGCGTCCATAATTCAGGCCCAGCCGTACAGCGGATTTTGAGGATCGAGAAGTAATGTTGCGTGATGCGAGGGGCTTGACTGGGGCCTCTCTATGCTACGATAGAGGTCGGTCGAGGGAGGGCTGGAGAAAGCACGAAGGGATGCCAGCAGCACCCCGCAGCAGCAGCCGCAGCAGCGTGCCCTTCTCACCGGTGTCGCACCCCCGGCTGCAGCTCCGGCTCCCACTCCGCATCCAGGCCGATGACCTCCTCCGATCCCAGGTCAGCCGCAAGCAGGGACAGGGCTGCGGACACTGCACCCGCCGATGCTGGTGAAGCCGAGGGTGGTGGTGGTGGTGCTGCTGCTGCTGCCGGCACACTCCGCCGGAAGTCAAGGAGGTGCACCTCCAGCGACATGTCCGGGAGGGCGCCTTCAACCTCTTTTTGATGATGTTGTTGTTGTTGGTGGTGGTGTGCGTCAATGGAAGCGGCTGCAGCCGCCGCTGTCGCTGTTGCTAAACCCATTTCGTCTGCCGAAGGCCCTACCAGCGGTCCACACAAGCCGGTGATGCATCCTGAAAGCTCGCCTGGTACGCCTATCGTTCCTGGTGCCGTTGCCGTTGCCGCTGCCACAGCTGCCACTGCCACAGCTTCCGATGTCGCCGTCACCGTCGCCACGTGCACAGGCGAGGGCTTGGAGGGGACGGGTTCTGAGCGCCTGGGCGGCAAGGCCACCAGATGCACGCTGTGAAATGCGTTTTCAGGTTCATTCCCAGCTCTAGCTCTGCTGTCGGAGGACGAGTTTTGTGAACTGGCGGCTGTGCGCCGGGAGCTGCGTGATGGTGGGTGGGATGGCAGCGGAGGCAGCAGCGGCAGCCGAAGGCCAAGGACTGATCCTGACAGGGCCCGCAGCGCAAGGCGGCACGAGCCGGCTAAGGACCTCATACGACCTGGCAGCGACTTCGTAAGCCCAAATCTCCAAGTTATGTAGAATGCAACTATGCCACATGATGCAGCTGTTGACATTATGCTGCCAGGAAGTCGCGTTCCAAGAACCCGCCTGCCGGCTCGTCGATCGGCTGCACCACGAGGAACTGAGTGCAGCGACGGGGTTTTGCGTAAGGTACCCATAGTAACTGCATCGCCGTCAGCGTCATCAGTAGGAAAGTTACTGCGGAGGTTTCGGGCCGCACTCTTCGGCTCCCTCATCATCATCGTCATCATCCGTCTGCTCTTGTGCCTCGTTCTCGTCGTCCTCCTCTGACTCTCCAGGCCCGGGTATGTGCTTCAAGCGCTGAAAAAACTTGTGGCACGCAAAGCACTTGCCTCCTGCAAAGGGACGCGCCGCCTGTTGACTTCACTGACTCGTGCACCGAAAGGATGCAAAGCTTACGCATAAGGAAATTCGGAGATAGAGATGTACTTTCAGTCCCTCACAACTGTCAAAGGTACCAAAGGCAGTATCGTCTCTCACCCGTCGCCACGCGTGCCGCACAGCCCGTGCACAGAGTTCGATGGCGACAAGGAAGGGTCATAAACGTTATGAGCTCCTTATGACAGCGGAGGCAAAGCTCGGCAGTGTCGGCCATTCAATATTCGTTCCGTGACGGAGCACCGGTAAAGTGCAGCCAGCCGTCCACTTAGCACAAGCAGTATCCGTTGATTGGTGTGAGGCACAATTTTAAACGATAGCTTTGCTTTCCCAGGGAGCACCTGCATAAGCTTCTCGGCGCGAAACAGTTGAACCGTGTGCTAATTGAACAGCAAAATGGTAAGCATGAGTCATAAAGCATAGAAGATGTGCAATCAACCTATCTGGAAAATGAATGGCATGCCTCAAGGCCCAAGCACACCTATGTACGGTATGTCGCCCTGCACATAGCCGGCCATGCACGCCTTCAAGATGCTCCAGTCTTCATTTTATACAAGCGCAGCTCAACAAATAGTATTTCGGCTGCATTTAAAGGGTCTCGCATAAAATGTCCGCATACAAAATGATTAGCATCCCTGAGGCACAGGACATCGTCCTGAGCCACACGCTGCCGCTTGGGGCGGTAACAGTGCACCTCTCGGACGCTCTCGGTGAGTATGGAATGCTTATAAATCGCTTGCATTCTATGCTATTCTGCAACACGATGCGCCGAGGCAGCAACGCCCACCAGCCCACCAACACCCATGCGCCGATCCGCCCATGCAACGCCACCGCGAAAACGCGCCGGTCCCCCATCCACTGCGCTGAACTCCCAACCTCCTCCAGGACGCGTGCTGGCGGAGGATGTTCACGCGCCCGATTCCCTCCCTCCGTTCCCCGCCTCTATCAAGGTACGGATGCAAATTACACTGCAAGAAGACTCACTCTCAGCGCAGTGTCCCCTACATGCACTATTACCCTTCATGTGACTCTCTATGCGTTTAGCTCTAAGCCGCAAGTTCTTGTACAAAATATGCCGTTTGCAGGACGGCTACGCGGTGGTTTCCTCGGACGGTGTTGGCGAGTACCCGGTCATTGGCGAGTCGAGAGCCGGCCAACTGGACGAGCTACCCGTACGGCCCGGAACCGTGGCGTACATCACCACCGGTGGGAAGGAGGGCCTGCGTGGTGACTGTGTGCGGGATGGGGCTTTGTGGGCGCTATGATGGGGGACGGACTATGGGCCCTCCGTGATATCAGGCCCCACTCCTCGTCCAGGCGCTCCGGTGCCGCCCGGCGCGGATGCAGTGGTGCAAGTGGAGGACACGGAGGTGGCGCCGCAGGGGCCGGACGGTGTGCGGCGCGTGCGCATCAACAAGGCTGCCAAGGCAGGACAGGACATCCGGCCTGTCGGGTCTGATATAGCGTAAGTAGGTGGATGGATGGATGGATGGACGGGTGCGGGACGAAACTAGTGTTCGTGAATGCTGCGGAACCGGGGAGCCTCTCCGATTGGGGGCTTCGGCAGCATTTGGGCGGCAATGATGCAGCGTCTGGGTGGTTTTCTTTTACATTATGGTTGTGGTCGCGTACAACATCCCCCTATGAACTTGGGTTGCTTTAAGCCTCACTTTTGGAACCGTAAAACTAAAACGTAGAGAGGCGGCCTTAGGCATCCTAGGAATTGTTCCTCCGGAGCCCTGCTTTAACGACTAGAAAGAATGTCCTTAGCGAATACTGCGCGTTGTACAGCGGGTGAAACTGCCTGTAGATCTAACCTTTGGTTTCGTAACCTAAAATCAGCAAAGATGCATAACGCCATCTTTTTGCTGGAACTTATGTGTCTTTACGCAAAACGGTTCTGGGGTAAAATGTTAAAGTTTCGCCGAGCCGATGCAAGGTCCCGCAAAAAGCAACGGGTTGCTGGAAGTGTCAGCTTTTGCATTGGATGAACCAGCATGTAACTTGTCAATTTCACGCATGAAGTTCAGTAACAAAATTGAAAACCATGCATAGTTGTAAAATGGCACTCTACCAAAGGCTAAGCCGACGATCCTACCAGGGATCGAACCTGGAATCTCCGGTTCCGTAGACCGGCGCTTTATCCATTAAGCCATAGGACCTATGGGGTCTTCGGAACTCGATGTCAGAGTTCGACACCATGGCTTTATAAACGTATTTGCTGTTTGTACGACAATAACCCAGGCCCTAGGCTGGCGTAAGGGTGAAGCTTACGCATGCCGCGGTCGCCCAGGCTAGAGCATCTAGGAATGTGTAGAGCGCTGAAACCGTAAATATACGGGGCAGATGTGCATCCTGATCCGTGTGATCTCTATTTTTCGTTTCCCTTTTTTACGCCAGCTGGGGCATAAACCCTGGGCCGAGCTGGTATGCCGAAAGTGCTGTGTTGATGCGGTGGAAATTGAGTTTCAAGTCTACTAGTGTTGTGTGGTGCTGTGTTGTGCAGGCCGGACCACGTAGACCCCACTTCTCAGAGCTCCCTCCCCCCTTCACCTGCCAAACCTTTTCTAGGCGCTGAGTGCTGTTAACTCCCCGCCACTGCTCCTCCTTGCCCAGCTAGCTACTGCGACAGCACCTAGAAGATGCGGGGGCTGCGAGGAGAGTTGACAGGGTTACCTTACGCCTTAAAATCCCTCCCTCCCCGATCTTAGCCCCGAAACGTCGGCAGCTGCTCTCCCCCGCCGCTTGTCTGTTGGGTTTTTGTACACGATCTCCCCCTCCCCTCCCTCCAATCCTCCTCTCCCAATACATCCTATTTCAGTGCTTATAATTCCCTTCCCCCCCTTCCGTGTGTGGTTCGTCTTTCCCCCCCTCCCCCACCCGAGAAACAGGGAGGGCGACATCGTGCTGCGGGCGGGGGAGCTGGTTGGGGTGGCGGAGGTGGGCATCCTCGCCACTGTCGGTGCCGTACAGCTGAAGGTGCATGCTAAACCTAAAGTAAGTATGATGCACAGCAACATGTACAGGGTTAGGGCGACCACCCACATCCTTTCTCTCCGGCCTCCTGATTTAAAGCAAGGCGTTCCTGTCTGTATCTTGTACGGCGTGGGCCCATAACTAAAACACACCAGAGCCTGAACCTCCTCCTCCTCCCCAAGCACACCGCAATCGGGATTCGGTTCCGGCGGTCCCCCGAAAGTCCTCAGTTAACTCCTCCGTTGTTCGTCTTCCCCCCGACCCGTTCTTCGGAATTCAGCAGTTTCGGTACTTTGGGCCGCAATAGGCAGTGATTTGTCTTTCTTCGCTTTTTGCCCCTGATGTGTTCCCCCCGGGCCCCTGCTTGTCCCCTCCTTGCAACGGCTCCCATGGTGGCGCAGGTGGCGGTTCTATCTACAGGTGGGAAGGGGGTCGTTCTCCTTGCTCGTCCTCCTTGCTTGTCCCCCTTGGCCTATTGCCCTGGCAGCAGCTTCACTCGTTTGTGGTTCGTCTTTCCCCCTTGGCCACAAACATCATTCCGTGCTTTTCCAGTCCTAAACCCCCTTTCCCCGGCCCCCCTCGGGCCCTCGGGCGCATAGCACCCACCTTCCGAGGCGGCATAAATCAATAAATGCACCACTGCCCAACGGGAATTCTGTAGTCTTGGTGGTACGGCATAAGAAACACATGCCCACGTGCACGTGCATGTGTGCATGCATATGTGTATACGTAACTGTTTTGATGACACGAGTCCCCGCCACACTACAAGACACGACCGCCGCTTACACGACCGCAACAACACCACCGACCACACGAGAGGGTCCGGTCCACTACAGTTTCCGCGGGGAGCCGACATGTTGCCTTCACCTTTGTGGCTGCCTTCACCTTCACCTTCATCTGCTCGAACAGCTCTTGACACCTTCGGGGCAGTCACGGAACCGCTGTCCGGTGGCCTTTTGCAGCCGTAGCACCTGCCCTCGTTATCGCTGCCCTCACTCTCGCCGCTGCTGGCCGTGAACGTCTCTCTCTCCTTCGCGGCTGCATGCATGCATGCATGCTTGAATGGATGGGCGCTCGCTGCTCCGGCTGCTCCGGCTACATGCAGCGGCTGCCCGCCCAGCAGACTGTTGGTGACGTGGCCGAGCTGGTCAGATGATGACAGGGGGAGCCCCAGCTGCTGACCAGGGTGGGCCCACACCACCTTCAACTTGCCTGCGAACCACTTTTTCAGTTTTACCCAAGACCTATCGTTTCTGTACCTCTATATTTTACATGTTCCCAATGTCCCCGTTTGCAGGGGACGAGGTCGTGGACCCGGCCACTCGCCCCCTGGGCCCCGGACAGATCCGCGATGCCAACCGGGCCATGCTGCTGGCTGCTGCTGCACGCGGCGGTGGCGGTGGCGGTGGCGGTGGGGGGGGTGCTGAGGTGTTGGACCTAGGGGTGGCTCGCGACACGGAGGGGCACCTGGAGGGCTGTGTGGCGGCGGCCATCGAGCGGCGGGTGGATGTGCTGATTACCTCGGGTGTGTGTGGGAGGGGGGAGGAGGGAGGGAGGGGGGGAGAAGGGTGTAACACCAGGGACACAAAACACAAAACGAATACAAAGGACACAAAACGCGACACCGCCTTCTCTCGTATATGCTTCCAGCATGTGCATTTTCTTTTGTCCATTCCCGCGTGCCCGGACTCGGCCGGTCTTCGCTATTATGCACTCTAATATGTACCTCTGCCCTCCTTTCTTTCCTTGAATAGTTTTCTCTTGCTCTTTCTTTTTTAAAACTTTCCCGGCGCTTCCCCTTAACTCGTCATTAACCGAGTACGGCCCTGCGTTGCTTGTCGTCCTGCTGTGCCCCTCTTTCATTTTGTATAGTTCTGTAAGTCTTCTTCAGCTCTTTATCTTCTGGGCTTTCCCTGATAGCTTCTCTTCATACAGCGGCACCCCGGGTGCATGTGCATTCTCTTGGTTATTTGCCTCGGCTTATCAGCTTCCTTCCTTTTCGTCTCGCATTTGCCTTTGCCCGCCACCTCTGCTTTTGCCGGTCGCCTCTGCCGCTTATGCTGCCTGGCCAGGTGAGTCTTCTGGGTATGAGCTTGCCTTTGTTGCACGCTAGTCGGCCGGCTAGTCGGGTTGGATTGGGTTGCCTTGGTTGGTCGGGTCGGGGCCGTGTTAGATGGGGGCCCTGTGAGGAGCACGTGCATGGCAGCGAGCAGCATATCAGTCCTACAAACCAGCAAATTTACTTCACTGCTTGCGACGACAAGTCGGCTCGCACCCTCCGATATCTTGGAGCATCCGTCTATCTTTTTTGCTCACGTCAATCGTCTACATGCTTCGTCGTACCCCCCTTGCCCTTTTCCCTCTTCTCTCCCCCCACATACATACATGTGTACATTACACACATACACACATGCACACGCACGCAGGCGGCGTCTCCATGGGGGACCGCGACCTGGTAAAGCCGCTGCTGGCTCGTCAGGGCACCATCCACTTTGGCCGCGTGCGCATGAAGCCGGGCAAGCCGCTCACGTTCGCCACCTTGGAAATCGCCGAACAGGGCGGCCGGCAGATGCTCGTGTTCGGGCTGCCGGGTGGGTTTAGGGTTGTACGGGGTTGTATACGGGGTTGTACGGGGATGTGGCGGGTTGGGGGGCCGTGGTTGTAGGGGTGGAATGGGTTGATTGTGGTTTTAATTGTAGTACGGCGCCGTACAGTGCAGTGCACAGTGTGATGGACACCTGTGTGGAGGGTGCCCGGGGAGGTGCGGGTTGTGGGGGGGCTGACGAAGAAGGGGGAGGGGGGGGACACACTTAGGGTTTGTGTTCTTAACACACCCACCAACACACCAACACACCCGCTCCTGCCCACTGCCCGCCGCCAGCCTCGACCCGCCCACCCTCGGGCACGCAGCAGATGTAATGCAACACCACACGGTGTATCACATACATACACACATACACACATACACACATACACACATACAGACGTGAGACACCCACACACACATCCGCACCCACAACCACACCCACATCTGCACCCCGTTGCTCCTAGTCAGGCTTAAAAACGCGGGCATCATCGACGACACCAACACCGCCCTTACATACCCACCCCAACCCTCCCGTGAACACACAACTGAACATATCATCATCCACAGGCAACCCCGTCAGCAGCTTCGTGTGTTTCAATCTTGTCGTACTCCCGGCGATTCGCAAGATGGCTGGCTGGGCGGCACCCGAGCTCCGCCGGGTGGCGGCGCGACTCACCCGCGACATCCCGCAGGACCCGGAGCGACCCGAATACCACCGGGCGACGTTGAGCTGGGGCCCCACGCCGCCCGGCCTCGCCAGCCCCACCAACACCAACACCAACACCAACACCGACACCAACACCAACACTACCCCCAATATCGTAAGCGGTGAAGCGGCATCTCAGCAGCAGCAGCAGCAGCAGCCGGCTCCTCTGGACGCCTGTGAGCTGTGGGCGCACAGCACCGGTAATCAGATCAGCAGCCGGCTGTTGTCGGCGAGGTCGGCCAATGCGCTGCTTGAAATACCCTGTGCGGCGGGGGTGCTGCGCGCGGGGACGCTGGTTTCGGCGCTGCTGATTGACGACCTGGGGAGCATGCCGGTGCCTGTGGCTGAGGGCGGTGTGGCGGTGGTGCCTACTACGCCGGGGTTTTAGGTGGTGGGTGGTGCGTACGTATATACATATGTACATATGGGTGTTTGTGTGTAAGGTATGTATGTATTGGTATGTAGTTTTAAGTAGGCAGTGTAGGTGGTGTGAAATTGTGTGTGTATGTGTGTATGTGTGTGTGTGTGTGCATTCGGTTCACCCGGGCTGTGGGGGTTAGGAAGGGGAGGGTGAGGGTGAGGGTGAGGGGGAAGGGGAGGGGGAGGGGGAGGGACGGCAAAGTATTAGCGCGCCGGGACACATCACGATTATGAAGCGTATGCCGTGTGCGTGCGTGTGTGTACGTGCGTGTATGTGTAAGTGTGTACGAGTGTGTACGTGTATGTAGTACTGTGGAGGGGGAGTAAGGAGTGCAATATATACATATTTAAAAAACAGGTTGTAAAAAATTGTAACAGATATTCCCTTCGTGTGGTTGGTGGGGTACTCTGGAGGAGGTTAACTTGGGTTTCTTCAGGGTATTAAGAAGTGTCACTAAACAATTACCACGGTGAAAAAGTATAAAAAAAACACTGCATCGTAGCAAGTTACATGTTACAAGTTCCGCACCAATAAGGGGATGTCCACCAAAGCCCGGAGGGGGCCCATGGACTAAATAAAATGCATAATTATGAATAATATATGATATTGAAAGTAAATTCCGCTGTACATTGAGGCGGTTAGGGTCCTGCCACTCAAATCGCTCCTCATCCAGTCACCCGACAATCGTAGAGACAGGTCAGCCATCGCCACCAATCCAGCATCTGGACCTTAAACCATCAAAGTTAGACTTCATCTCCACACCTCAATAGCAATCCGCGAACCTAATACTGCCAATTAGGGTGGGAAACATACACAGGAGTCGAACCCTAGGATCTTTATCTGTTGATTACAATGTTGACAGCAGAACAGACCAGATGTAGCGCAGGCCGTGGTCCAGCAGATTGGGGGCTCGTCCCAGGTGTCGCCACCCCGGAAGACGGACATCTACGGTTGACAGAAGCGCCGCCGGGACAATGGAGCAATGCGGGTGGGACGTCATTTGCCTGGCAGCACTCTCCGCCCGGGAGCGTGCTCGAGTGGGACTGCGGGCTGTTTGTTACCCACATGCGTTGTTAGGTAAGAGCCCGCAGTCCCACTCGAGCACGCTACCG